CCTCGCCGATCAAACGGTCTGCCGCGCCTACCAAGCGACATAGACAACGCAGTCGCGGCCTTAGGCGGGTCAACCCACGCAACCGACCTCGCAAACAGTACCATACAGTCTCAGAAGGCACCAGTCAGTAAGGAAAAACGTCTGGAAGAACTTGTGAGAGACTCCGGCCGCCTCAGGCAAGAACTTGACTATTGGAAAAGCTTGGCTCTCACAGGAACCGCCTTCATGTCCGACGTCGAACAAGTCGTGGTACAGCTTTCAGATGTTTGCAGCCGTTTCGAGAGCGTTATGAATGAAACAGACACTATGTCAGCGGAGGAGAGATTGAGCTCTGGCTATCTGTCCGAATCTCGACAGAGGGAAGACGTGGAGGTGCAGACTGGTGACGGACCAGACTCGCCATTAGTAGAGGATAACCTTGACGTGCTCTTGGCCCCCGTCAGGCGAGGTCGAGAAGGCTATGACTTTGAGGCCGCCAAGCCAGAGTTGAAGCGGAAGCAGCCACCATACAATCCCGGAGGTTGGCTCTGATAGCAAGCACACATGGCCTGCACCGAGATTCGCCGGGTCCATCTTCATCCTGTGATGTCATAAAGAGGAATAGAGAATTCATGCCCATGCATATAACTGTACATACCACCACTATCATTCACGTGAATCACCTCTGTCGTCAAGAGTTATAAGGGTGCTACGCTGCTGTTGGGCATGGCTCAAGCCCTTCAACGTCGCCGTTTGGAGGCGTCGTAAGCGATCCGTCTCCAATAACGTCTGGTCTTCAACGCCTGAATGGTGTTTTGAACCTCTTTCCCGTGACTCGCTTCCATCTCTGACAAGCCATGCAAACATATCTCGTTGTTATTGGAAATCAAGCCTCTTCAATCCTGAATCGTCACCAACCTACCAGAAGAGATACTTCACCGATGAGCCAAAAATGCCCTTCTTGACCAGTGCACGCGATCAACACCATCATTACTGATTGCCGGCTAAAATAGGCTCCACGGCGATGCAACAACGAGATGGACACGCTACCACGCGCCGCACACCTTTTCAGTATATCATATATAAGGGCGACCTCTAATCACGGTCTAGCAAGAGCTCAGCTTCGACTCAACGCTCTTCACATTTTCCCAAATGCCCAGGTCAGCGAAGGAAGTACTCGACTATGTCATGAACATCTTCTTCAAGGACAATACATGGCATGAAACAGCCGCTAATCTCAAGGCCAATCCCATTTTCTTTGGATCTGACCTCGAGCG